ATTATTTGGGGCCACACCTCCCCAGCAGGTAAGTCCCACCCAACTTACCCCTGCTCCTACCTCTGCAGCACTGTCTCACACCACAGGGGCCTTGATCTAGCCCCCACCCCTTCCCTCCCCCACAGACTGACCTGCTGGGCTGGGGCGCACGTGTGCATGCAAGTGGGCACTCAGCCCCCCCACCCCAGCCTCATATCGACTCCAAGATCTACCAGTGGATTGAGATCCATTGGTTGGTGAGCACTGCTCTAAGTGGATGCTCAACACCTGATCTATCAAGCCCCACAATGACCAGTTATTATAGCCCACATCACCCAGCTTCACATCCTCCTCCATGTGGCAATAGGCTTGGAACCTGTGGGTGGAACTACTACATTTCTACTGCCCCTGCTCTCACCAGTGCCTTGTTCTAGGAGTCCAGGATCCCAAATCCTTCAATATTAATGGGTAGGAGGGAAGGATTGCCACACACTTACACTAAGCCAGCATTTTTCTGAAGCTGCTTCCTCAGCCACACAAACTCCCGGTAGCGTCTGCGCACACAAGATGTCTTGGCAGTGAAAGCCTTGCTGTTGGTCTGTAAAACATAACACACAGGAGTGAGGGATGGCTCACTGGGGGACATGTTCATCCAGGATGGTCCTGCTGTTCTCTAGGCCACTTCAAAGGTATTCAGATCCAGGTTCTGATCTAAACTAGACTGAAAAGGTAAGCTGTAAAAAGAGGTTGCAGTCTTTTGCCTTCCACTGTAAGCTGTGCTGTTTTCAACAGTAAAATGGGCTCAGCCTAGAGCAAGAGGCTACATGCTGTGATCGACTCACAGCACCAAGAATTTAAGACAACTGATATAAACATAAAATGGGGATGATCTAGGCATAGCTATGCCTATATTCTATTATAAATATTTCCCAGGTTCTGGGCTTTGTTGGTTGCATGGGGCTATGAGGGAATTCCCTCCCCCCACTCTCCTGCCCCACTACATGTGTCAAAGGGTTTTTTTAAACCTTCCTCAGAAGCACTGGGTGTTGGCTACAGCCAAGCCTGGGGGTTTTGACTGGGGTGTGCCAAGACTTAAACTCAGAGTTTTCTGGCTAGATGGTCTTATCCCACTCTTCAGGGTCAGACTGATCACAATATTTGGGTTCAGGAAGGAGTTTTATGCCATAGTCAGATTGGTATTGGTGGTGGAGGTATTTGCCTTCCTCTGTAGCAGGGGTGTAGCCCTCTCCCTGAGATCTCGAGTGTATTTACAACCACTGTGATCCCTCTGCTTTACTAGTGGCAGGCTAGGGTGTTAAGTCTGGTGTTGTGCCAGGGTTGACTGTAGTTTTACTATGATGTTAGAAAGTAGATTTGTATAAGACGGTTGGATAGGGATGATCCTGCCTTGGGTACGGGATTTCATAGACATTCGGGCTGGAAGGGACCTCAGAAGA